GCAGCTCAGTGCAGTCTCACAACATGCCCACCAGCTTGTTCAGACTGGGCTGGGTTACCGTGCTTGTACCCTTTGGTGATGAGTCAACACCAAAACCAGAAATATACCCATGGAGGAGGTATCACAGATAATTTCACACCAAAACATCTTTGGCATGGGAAACTGTTAGAAGCCCTCATCAAACTGATGCCATGTCCTCCAGGCAGTCCTGAATGCAGGAACCAGGATGTGATATTTGAACACAGTCTGTGTTTGCAGAGCTCACAGTTTTAAGCCAAGGATGTTTCAGTTGCTGAATGTCTGGTGTTCATTCCAGTCCTGGACAGCATCAGTTAGAAATGGACTTAGCATAAAACAGAAGATTTTTCAACACAGCAGAACATGAGTTATGAGTCAACTTTTGCTACAGAAGGTGGGAAAATGCATTCAAAATAAGATTTTAATTAATTTTGGCTCTTAAGGGAGATTTTTTTGAAACTGGTACAATGAAAACTAATCCTATTCCATTGCACTTTATTAAATTTTATTTACATATTTTCATCATGCCTCATGAGCTGAACCCACTGCTCTGCTTCATCACTGCTGCTTGTCTGACTTCACATATTACACGAGGTATGAGCAGAACTCGCAGCAGTAGTCAAATTATTGCAAGAGGTCTCACAAAATGAAAAGTTGCACCAGATGAAAATGTGATTGTCAACTGGGTAACTCTGCAACAAAACAGTACTTTATTGTTTGATGTTTAAACAACCAGAATTTCCAATATTATAAGTGGTAAATCATTTATACATAGGATGAACTTAGATTTCAAAATCCATTCATTTTTACAACCTCCGCCATCTAGATTCCACAAACTCATAAAGAATCTTCAGTAATTAAAAATGGGAATACACATTGCAAGATGTAAACACATGAAGTCTTGTACACTTTATCCACATACAGCATGTGGAAGATTCCCTGAAGTATTTTTTAGTTGATCTGATCGATTCACTGTACAACAAGAAAACCTGACAGATAGGATTCCTTTCCAAGTCCTGGACATTACATTACATAGCTCTAAGAATAGGACTCTACATTTATTTGACTGGAAGTTCACAGCACTATTTGCCTTAAATAGATTGTTAATATGATTTTAGCACATATATAAAAATATAACACACCTAGAAACTAATAGCAAATCACCAATCAATGTACAACAAGTACCATGTACTCCATCTTAAGCCAGTTTCAAAAGGAAAAAACCAAAACCATTATTGTATTAAATTACATTAAAAAAAATCCAAAACCCAAACCAGCCTGAATCAGGCTTATATAAACATTACTTGGAAGTTTCAACATCAATAATTCTTTCAATAATCTGGGAGATTATCAGCAATGTTGTTAATACCCTGAGTCAACTGATGATTTAATAAATGGGTAGGAAAAACACCCGATTTTGGAAGTGAAATTATTTCCTATGGGATAAAAATTACTCTGTGGCTAATTATAGCATTTTACTCTTGAGTTTATAACTCTACATTATATTTTAAAGTTTGCATTTACTTTTTCTCATTCTGACACAAAAATTTCTTCCCTCTGCAATTAACTTTAGCAAAAGTTTTGGAGGTAGGAAAAAAAAAAAATTAATCTTTGCTAGAGTGAAAGGCAGAATGAACAGAAAATATTTAAAAGGCCAGACTTGGTGATGAGTCATTTGAATTAGCAAAACTTGCTCCAATACTGTTGAGAAGGACGTGGTCAGGAAAAACTCAGTGTGTTTTTTACTGTGATTTGCAATACATCAGTCTCCAGCACTAAGTGACCAAATATTGTATTTCAAAAATGTAAACTTATGCTCTTGAACTGAGTTTCTGTGTATGCTTCAGTGAACTTGTTCAGATAAGAAGAGATATCTAGAATAACTTAATTTGAAATTTATAAACACAGGATCACAGCTGAGAGGTCAAAACTATAAGAATAATATTTATAAGCACAGCTGCTATGGATGTGCTTCTGTGAAATTACAGAAAGAAATCTGATTGAAATGTTCATCCTATATCAAAAACTGAAGCAGAAATGCTGTCAGCTGATGCTTAGGTCAGTGCCAACAAAATCACTTATCCAATGTTTGAAAAAATTAAACAGTATAAAAATAGACAACTAATTACTTTATACAGGTAGCACAAAGGTTACAGAGATTTAAAAGAGAAAACAATAGGGGTTTTTTATTATGCTTCTACCTTTGGAACTAAAAATAGTACTATATCCATACAAAGTAAGGTTGCAAACATTATTTTATAGTGTTGCCATATAAAAGGCATTATATTTCATGAAAACTATCAAAAACTATCAACCATTTTAGGAAATTCAGCTTTTTAGTTATTAAGGAGAATTTTACTCACGTACATTCGGGTATTTTACTCAAGTACAGAAAAGAGTAAAATGCCTGATAAGAAATTGCTTTTTTTATCAGGTAAATTATTGATTTTCTAATGTTACTGCACAATAAAGCCTTTTTTTATTTTTTAAAATTCAGTTTATTTTCTTGAAGCAGCAACGAATCTCACTGCTTAACTAAAGGCCACTCTTAAAGCTGGCCAATCGGTTTCACTGTTATTAGCACCTTATGAAATGAAAGTCCATTAGTGATTATCTACATTATGAATATACAGATTTTCAGTCCAAAGCTTAGTTTTAGATAAATCTGCACCGGTCTCATCTCTCTGTCATGGATAACACATTATATTAACACATTATATTCTCATTACATTAACATTATATAGCACATTATGGTCTCATTATATTAAACTTCTTAGAGATATTCTTTTCTATGTAAATACATTTGTATTTTGGTATGCATGTCTGTATCAACATATATATTATATAAATGGAGAGAGAATGCACATGTTTATAGAACACATCTTATTTTCCCTTAATCCCTTGCAGATTGTTTTCTCTTACATTAAATCACTAGAATCTAAAACCAGAAATATTGCCTCATTGTCACCTGTGAGATAAATTTAGACATGTTCTCTTACTTAATTTCCAGTTATGTATAATACTAGAAGAGTAACACTGTTAATAGTCCCTGTTATTATCTTCCTCCTGTACTGAATAACAGCACCTCTCTGAGATTTGTGAGATCATATATATATATAAAAAAAAGATTTGCAGTATAAGAAGGCTGAGCACTTCCAAAATTCTTCTGAAAATCTTTTGACACATTTTAGAAATATTTGTTTTCTGGAAGAAACAAGCAAACAAAAACTCCACTCTATTTTCTCTTGCACAGAAATTCAGGTACCGGAATGGGAGTACTATAAGCCACGTGCCACAAAAAGCATTTCTATCTCAGATCTCTGATCTTTAGCACCTGCAGCAGTACCTGAATCACAGACTCACTCAGGCTAGAAGGGATGCAGGAGCTAACTGGAACTTGCCTGTCTACTTCCTTCATACCTTGCCAGGTGTGTCAATGTCTTCATTCCATTCACTGATCCAGCCAGGAACATTTCATGTGGGCTTAGTGTGATACAGCAGTGCCCCTGGTTATAATCACTACTGATTTTGGAGTTTCCTCAGACAAAAGATTATAAGATCTTAAAACAAGTACATTCTGAGGAGTGATTTTCAAATTTGAAGTAAAAAGCTGACCCCATAAAATTGTTGCTGCATTTGTTTCTCTACAAATAAATACAGATAAAGAATAATGACACACAATGTACAAAACTTCGAATGTAAGTATTCTATATACAAACTCACTACTAACCTTGGTTGAGAGTACTATGCCCTAAGAGAGCAGGACATAGCTTTCCTTGTTGGCAATTGATTTCCTGAATTACTTCCCTTCGATCTGAATGCTTACATTAATTTATTGTTATTATTTTAATGCACATTTTCTTGTTATTGTTATGTGTATTTAAGGAGTGTATCACTATTCCATATACAGTAATACAGTTGATATAAAAACACCTTCTCTTCCTCACTGCAGAAACAGTATTATAGAAAGAAATGTAAGTACTGTACACAGGAAACTTGAAGCAGTGTTTCCAATAGGATACAGGAATAGACAATCCATTCAATATTCATTAGGTATCAGATGAAATCAGGTATTCATTTCAAGTAAAAAAGGATCCCCTGAAGAAGATGCAGAGGAGAAAAATCAGCAAGTATGTGACCTAGTAAAGCGTGAGTCTAAACATGGTGTCAATCAAATGTGCTTAACCTCCATTACAGCAAAGCAGGAAAAGAGCCTGATGAGTGAAAAAGATCATGTCAGTGACTTTGAGACCTTTAAGGAGCAGGACATGCACTGAGGATCACAATCTTTGTCTTCTTTTGAAGGAAAGGTTACATGAAATGGGTAGATTTATACTAGGGAAGAGAGGAAACACATCGAAGCTTTGGAAGACAACAAATTTTAAAATATGTAAAAGAATGCCTCAGAAAACAAAAGAACAAGCTTATCCCCGTATCCACACCCATCAGAGAACAGAACACAACTTTGCTTTTGGTCATCTAAGACCCTCAGAAAGGCACTGCCCACCCATGTGCAACTTTTCCTCACTAAAGAGCCCCTTTGTTTTCCAGACCAGTTCTCCAAGTTGCCAAGTTCAGTTTCACGTCTGAAAAGGTCTCCCAAAGGTTCCTTTTGCTAGATAAATGTCAATGGAATACTTAACCAAGATCGACTGGTTAAGGTGTTGTGTTATCTTCACTATAATAAACATAACAAATTACTCTCTAGGGGCACCTAGGCACAGTTAGTCACAGAATCACAGAATTTAGTCATACCATATGGTTGTGAATTGCTGTGTGGGGAAAAAAAAAATTGGTTTGTACTTTTTCTATCCTTTGCATTATATAAGTTAAGTACATCAATATATTTCCTCTGTCATACTTATGTTTTTGCAAGTCACTTTAAATATTTTCTTTATAACATAACTGTCTTACTGAAATAAAAACAGATTCCTGGAACTATTAGTATCTACGGTACTATATAAATAAATAGCATAAGTTACCTGCTTGGTTTTTAAATATTTTTGATATGACGACAGGCACTTTGTGCTCAGCACCCCCCTGTAAGAGAGAGATATTAACCATGAGATCTCAAGACTGAAGTGGTCAAACTGAAATTTAAAAGAAGAAAAGAGATGTTACCCATACCTTTATGCTTAAGCCCAAGCCACCAACTGGTTGTCGATGAAGTGTAACAGTTCTGTGCTTTAAAAAATTGTAGAAAAAATAAATTTAGGTGAAAATACAATATCTGAATGAGCATAAAAGACTTTCCTAGGCTTTCATTTACTTAAAAAAAATTCCTAGAAATAGTCTAGAATCTGAATTATCAGTTCTGAAGTATCATTCAATATTGATTTACAGGAACTTAATTAATTCTTCATCACAGAGAGCAGAACCTGTGAGTTGTGTATTCAGACTTTAGTATGCTTTTCTATCTCTGAAGTGATATTCTTCCTGAACAGAAATTTGTACATACTTTTCCTTTGGCAAGAGAAAACTATATGAAGAACTCAGATATGTATATTTTCATAACTATTGTGTATGCACGCTTGTTCTAATTTTTCAACAAAAATACCGGTACTTTCTATTCTAAATCTTCAGATCTCTATATTTTTTTGTAGCATATGCTGAAAAACTTTTAGTGATAGTCTACTTCAAATCTTTAATTTTTTCATTTCAGTTTTAAGTGTGTAAGGAAGAAAAACCTTTATCAATATTTTTCTAGAGAAACCTATCATATGTTTAACAGTATGCTGAATTTGATGTTTCAATAATGTGTAACTCATGGTGCCTGACAACATAATAATAGCACTTCATCTGTTGACAATAATTATACAGTTGATGGGAACTTTTTTTGGAACATGCTGAACAGTAGTGGATAGAATCCCATCTTTACAGTAATTCCAGAACATATAGGATAAAATATTTTTTCTTTCTCTGTACATTAGAAATAGTATTAAAATTACTCCTATATATGTATACTTTCTCTCTGTGTGTTTTACAATTTCACAAATTCAGATAAATATACATTTTTATTTTAGTAACGAAGACCAGAATCTTATGATAACAAGCTATTTTAATACATATAGCTCTCTTTTTTTTTTGTAACACTCATCATGCTAGACATATGTTCATATTGATTCAGGGGAAAATGAAACAAAATATATCTGGAATTTCAGTTTCATTTTAGGTGGATTAAAAAAATCCATATGGTAAAAAAAAATAGGAATTTTTTCATACATTTTCAAAATTGCTTCTGTTCCAATGAATATTGTACTTCACTAGTCTATGCTAAAAATTGAAAACTGCTGCATTATGAACATGGCACCTGACATGTCAAAAGATTTATATGATTAAATTTCAGCTGATGTAATGCAGTTTCTTTGAAATCTATGCTAATGCAAATTTTTTCATAGGTTTTTTCTTTATTTGGAACTGCATCATAACTTTTGATCAAAATTATCACACTCGCTGACAAAGTTCAGATCCAACCCGAATCAGAATACATCTCTAACTTTGAATTCAGGGACTCACTCCCAAGAGATGCTTTCCAGGAACCAATGCCTGTCTGCTTACTTAATTCTTCTTTTACTCCACCTATACTCACACCTTGAAAATATATTATCCTAATATATCCCATCACAAGGAGGAGACGATGGAATAAATATTTTCACATTTTTGTTTGCTTTAGCATGATCATACAAGAAACAGAAAGCTGCAATGTGAATAACTTTAGAAGTTTTATTAAAAAGACAAGTAGGGAACTACTTATTGGCATCTTATACTTTCAAATAGAGCTAACATGCATTTTTACATGATTGATAGGCAGTCCAATAAAGCAATATACCAATGCATAACATTGTATAATCCTGATATTTCTATTTAAATAGTTCATAGTATTGCCTATTACAGTTATTCAAATATTCCATTAAAAGAAGATAATAAACTCATACCTAAATGATTCCTACATAACAGCTTAGCAAAGGCTATGTTTAAAAACTGCAAAAACTTTCTTCTTTTCAAGATATTCAAATTGCAAAGTAAAATGCTAAAAGCTGAGCATGATTAAGTATCATGATCAAGATAATTTACATAAATTCATTTCAATTCTATGATCATAATTTGCTATGACTAGAAAAACAACTTTCTTGCCCTGTTTGGCTTTTCTAAGGAAACATTCATAGCTGCTGTCAGAAAAAGGAACGTTGGTTCAGTAGACTTTAGGTCTGAATCAGTCCTGAATTTGTTATGCGAGGATAAAATTTCATGACTATGAAATTTGGACTGAAACCCACAGTAGCTTTGCAAGTAACTATGAAAGAAAACTCTACTCCAAAACGTCTTGCCGAAACTGAACCGCAATATCTGTGGGGAAATAAACAAACCTATCTTTTTGTGACATTAATGTCATGCACATATGCAGCTGAAAACCCAATGTGTATGTCTCAGTCAAACAAACAAACATCTTATTTCACTTTTTGGTTGCCTGCAGGCTAGATATAATTTTTCTTTCCAGATGAATTTATTTATGGTTTTAGAGTGAAGTGAGACAGAAATTTGTATCAGTGTTAAAAAAATAACAAAAACAATGCTATAGTTGACTGTGTAATTTTATTTCATTATAGGCAAGGAAAACTCTTTAGACAGTCTTACTAATTATAAATCAAAACAACAAAGCTGAAATTAACATTTTTTACATTAACCTTTTTGCTTTTTAAATAGCATTTTATTTTGTTCAATAGTATCTACAGTTTCTTGAAACTTTTTTATTCTTGTGGGCTCCAAAGCACCCAATGTGTACACTGCAACAATCTCACTTTACAGGTGTGCTACCAAGCAGAAGCAATCATGTACCCCCCATGGCACAAAAGTCTGTTTTGTATCCTGTTTCTAGGAGATTACAGGGCAAAGCAGTACCCCACATAAAACTTCAGGATGCATTTGAATATATACAATGTAAGAAATAAAGCTGTATTTGGCAGGATACCAGTATGAAATATTCCTATATTTTTGAGACCTTTTATTGTTGCAAGCTGTGAACTGGTGAAGCAGAAAATTTCAGGAACTCCAAGAATGATGTCAGACAGGGAATATATTGAAAGGCAGATACAACAGAAAATTTTATCTGTGTAAGATGCAGACACCATTCAAAGGAACACTATTTCAACCACTGTAGAAAGAAGAGACAACTTGGTAACAGGTGCAGTGCTGCTTATAACACCTAACATGAATAATGCAGCTGAAAAAATTGCTATACTTTTATAAGCTGCAAACTGAAAGATATTTACAAATATAGGGACAACCATATGGTCAAATATCCATTTTAGGTATGAGGTAGCTCTACACAGAAGACTTACTAGATTCTGTTAAAAAACAATCATGAGAGAAATTTTATCTCTGGGAAGGTCGTTTATGTCTTGTTATTTGCTCATGTGAAGTCGTATTACTGAAGCTTAATGGGCAACATGAGAAGGCAATTGCAGTGCTTATTTCTGTTACCGTGTTTTAGGAAGATTTTATATCCACCTATAGGCCAATGCCTACCTAATATGTCATTAGTACCAGGTTGTTAACACCCAGGACTGGTACTTGTAGCAAAAGACCTCTCATCAGAAAAAAGTATCATATCTATCTATCTATCTATCTATCTATCTATCTATCTCCCTCCTACCTACCTACCTACCTACCCACCTACCTACCTACATGAATAATGTACTATGGGGATTTCAGAAGAAGAATCTGCTTGAAGGACTCCAAAATCATTGATATAAAGAGACATTTTTGAAAAGAGACTCTGTCTGTACAATATTTTACTTTTCTGTTCCAGTCTGCATGAAAATATTAATGAATACAAATACTATTTCCAAGCATCAAACTGAAGTACACAGCAGAAAAGGTTGGGGCACTTGACATAGCCCACGCCTTCGCTGACCAATGACATTAAAAGGTTAAATTCCTGGTACCAACTCCACTTGTTAGCCTGAGTCTGTGCCCCTGGGCTAAGAGTAGTTGGGCTAGGCTCTGCAGTTATAAAGGGGTGCTGTGTGCATTATACTACATGAGACAGATATTGGCAAAAATGGGTCAAACAATTATTATCAACAGGAATGTTCATAACAATGGCCACACCAACAAATCCCATGGAATGTAAGGGCACCAACAGGCTCAGTACCATGACACATCATCAAAATCACCAATTAAGACAAAAATCACTGGTTTTCTCTCAAGGAGACTAGTCACCTCTTCTTAACCCAGAAAATGAACACAGATATGTGTTTGATAAATAGTCTTGACTAAACATGGCCCCATACTCAAACCTCAACAGACTATTACGTAAATAGATAGGAGACTATTCCTTAAACATAAAAAGTGGACAAAGAAGAAGATAGGAAAAAGTGAACAAAGAGAAAGAAATCATTGTCGCATTGTCTACAGAATTTTTTTAAAAAGTAAATTTATTCCAACTTCTAAATTTGCATCTGGTATTTATTGAAAGAAGTAGTCTCAGAAGTTCTCCTTACTTGTTGAAAGTAAGATGTCAGATTAACTACAGATACGTCATGGCAGGTTTGCAATAGAAAAAAAATGCAGTTTGCCACCCAGGCCCTTGGGAAACATACAGGGGAAAGGAAAAAGCAAAACAAGTCCAATAATAAGACTTAACACAGAAACCTGCGACCTGTCCTGCATGGATACAAGGGAAGAAACAGTCTGATACCTGAAGGGGTAAGAAGATAGTTTGTCCTGGTTTCACTTGGGATAAAGTTAACTTTCTTGTTACAACTTAAAATATCAGCCACATGTCCCTTTTCTTAGCAACTCTAGACAACGACCATGAGGAATTTACGCGTTAGGAAATGACTGAAGAAACAGATGTTGTAAGAATGAGAGAACCAGTAAAATGTATCATTTAAAGGCAGTAAAAGGCAGACATCCTGTTGGTTGTTAAACATCCAAAAAGATGAAAAGAGGATGTGGTGAGCAAGGATATGTTGAAATACTTCAGGAAATTTTCTCCTCAAGATGGGGAGTTCCCATGATGAGAGCTTTCTCAGCTCACAACCTCCACCTCTCCAAACCCTGAGCTTCCTGAGCAAACGGTTCAGCGTGTATTTAGCATTTTTTCAAATAGATATTTCCACTTCTGCTCATACAACCCTCACTTATTGACAGCAAAATTCCACCTACCCAGTGGCTGGCTG